CATTACTAATATGACAAATATGAAAGTTCTTAATGATTCTGTAATGTTTAGTCGATTGGTAAAACTACAAATTTACTCTAGATTAACAATGATCTTATCACCAAGATGTATAGAACTTTTCCCAAAATACTTTTTTATACAACTTAGAATGGCAAACAAGCTGACGGCTCACCTGATGGAAAGTGGTAACCGTCGCCTATAGACATGAGCAGTACTATGGACATAACAGAGTATACTGTTTCGCCCATGATACCCCCCATGCGTTGCCATGCGATGCCTGAGGACTCAGATGTTATTCCTCTGTACCCTGTAAATTCACGCCATATCCCACCCTTCAAACCGAAACACAGCCATGCAAACACAACTGCTACATGGTAGAAACACGGATAGGACAGAGGTACCCAAGCAATCAACTTTTGTACAGTCTCCCTCTGGGCTCTTCCAAAATATATTCTCATAAAAACAAATTCTAAAACAATTCATTTGAATTTAAACGCAATATTACAAGTCTACAAGGAGATTTCTCTTCTCAAGAAGAAAAACGACAGTTTCCATCGTTACCAACTAATATGAGACCAGTATAGAAATAATGTAGACTTTTAGATTACAAGCAGACCCTATAGATTACCAAAAGAACTGGCATTATCTTATCAGCTTCTGAAAGGTTGACTGTAAGAGATCGCTCTATGATATAAGTCCACCATTGTATGTTAAATCTTTTCCATGTCTCCAATGTAATGTACGTACTGTAAACATTTACAACAACAACTACAACAAACCATAAAACATATGTGTATATTACATAGAAAAAAAATAAAAACTAATTCCTTGTGGATGTTAGTTAATACAACATTAACGGGCTGATGTAAGTTGAGACCTTGTACAATACACCCAGTGAACAATAAAGATAATAATAATAATAATACTTGTATTATGTTTTTTTACATATATATATATATATATATATATATATATATATATATATATATATATATATATATATATATATATATATATATATATATAAAAAAATATATATTTTATACCGTATAGGCAAGCGCAGTGTGGCACGACCCCTGCTAGATGGAGTTTTTTTTTAATGCATGATTAATGGAATGGTAACGGTATACGCTGGCGGGACACCAGTGAGAGATGATTGGTGACAGGGTATATTGCTAGCAACGGGACTGGTAGCCCGCATTACTAACGATCCCTTCCCCCTTACTAGATGGAGTGACGACCTGAAATGCATTGCAGGGACTCAATGAATGCAGGTGGCTCAAGACGACTGTTTTTTACGGCAGTCTATGGGTGAGGTTTATGTCCAGCAGTGGACGAAATGGCTGAAATGATGATGATGAAGTATTTACTATGTATATTGACTATTGTTTATAATTTTCATTTGTATTGTCATTATTTTTATTTATTAATTATAATAATATAATCAATAAAATATATTGAAAATATAATAATATTCAGGTGTAGATATAAATCCCTCAGTTATATAAATATGGCTAAATATAATTAATTTTATTATAAAGATTTATTTTGTCATAACTTTGTAATGACTGTTGCATGTCAGTAATGACAAAATGTGTGAAACCAACTTTTGTAATATTAACATATCACCTTATTGTACCACATTTTAGCAATTAATTTCATTTCATCATTCATGCATGCAAACATGACGTAGTAAGTACTGGAGTAAACTCAGAACCGTGAATAAAAAGGCGAGAGAATTAAGTCGAAAACTCACAATATTTTCAACATAATAAAGGGCTAACAATGAGGTAATTTTAAGTAAAATCGTATATTATACCATTGTGCTTCATTATTATTTGAGTATTGTTCATACAATGTATAAATTAACACGTGGTATTCTGAAAGGACACACCGGCTACCCCATGCCTTATGGCGAATGAATTGAAAGCACTCATTATAATTGATAATCATCGATTGGGTATTTCGAATATAAAGTACAAAACAACTAGTAATTAACTTTTGTATTATATTTCTTTGAAATTATTGCTTCCATAATTCTCTTTCTACGCTGTTCTTTATTATAAACTATTAAAAGGAATTATCAATAAATAAAAATTAAAAACGTCGTAAACGTTAAATATTTTAATGATATTTTATGATGTTATTATTTCCTTTGTACCTACTTTACAATTAGAAAAAATATATTGCTTTTAATATCTTTCGTTTCAGAAAAAAATTCTGTAATGCATAAGTTCAAATTAAAATTGGTACTTTATATTTAGGTTGTAATAGAAGAAAAAAAAACATTAGCAAAAATCAATAACTAAATCCCATTAATTGCTAAACATGCTAAAATTTGTAAAAATGGATAGATATATTTGATACTATTTGTCGCAAAATCTACTGAATGAATTTTAATGAAATTTAGTACATATACCCGTGTATTAGGTTATATCCTAATTTAGCACATTGGATTATATTCTTTATGTTCTAATTCACGCGGACGAAGGCGCGGGATATAACTAGTATATTTTACCTAACACCACGAACATTATTCTAAAATGTTGGCAAGTATATAGAACTAAAGGTGCTGCTATCAGGCAATTCGCGAGTTCCTTATTAAACTCAAAGACAAGCGATCAATTCTCCTTTCAAGCGTTGCTGTTAACGTGGGTACGCGAGCGAGGGATAAAAGCGATACGATATGAAACGAAGGTAAACTTTGCTACTCTGTATCCGACAGCATTGCGACATTTATCAAACGTATTGATAATGAGCAAAATTGTTTTCTTTTCAAATTCGATACGAATTTTAGTCGTTTTAGTATCCAAAATTACCCGGATAAATAACTAAATCAGAAATGTCTTTCCTTATAATTATAATAGATTTTATTCCCATCGATTATAAAAAGATTCCCAAAATTACTTAAAAATTTACAAAGATGTCGCATATTTTCGACATTTAAACTAAAAGTTACAAATTTATTCGTCAAACTGTGATATTATTAGGTTAAACTTTAACAGACAGATGTCTGAATGAACAAGTAGTCATTTCTTTGACTAGATAACCAGTACTATGTGATACTGAAACTAGTTCTGAAACTGTTTTAATGTCACATGTTAATAACTACAGAGGCTAATACTCATAACCTTTCGTATTATATAATTATGACACCTTCCAAGACTCATTCGAAATGTGTCATATTCCGAACAAATGTGTGTTGCGTGCTACACAGCACATGTACGCATCGGTATAACCGCACAGTGAATGGCATTCTTTACTTCCCACACCTCGTTACATTACAGGTAGGTACTGATAATCTTCCCGCGTACAAGATAATACGGCCGTGATCACCGAAACCGATAATTATGTTTCTTTTGATAATAAAGAACCGAAAGCTTGTTAACAACCATCCCTTTGTGAGTAGGAACATTTTGGGAGATACACAACTTTTTGGCTCCTGTTAACGTAATAACGTATCCTATATTACATAAATATGCACGAGCACAATACGATATAGGTATACACTCGTAAACTGGCAATGTAAAAATAGTACCCGTTTTTTAAGTAACTTAATTATGGAGATTATTAAGTGGACTACATATTTCTTTTTAGTTTATGTTACTTGGTGCTTGGTTCTTTAGCAATTTTAAATCAAAAACAAACTTATTTTGTTTGTTTACGATAAAACATACCCCAGTCTTAGACTTATATAAATCCTTCGTAGTATTATATATTTTGTCACAATAGAAGTTTTTTCTTTTTTTAATTTATAAAGCCATACTATTAACTACTAACATTACACTGAACATTGACTATATTAATAAGCGAAATTATAATAATTGTTGTAAAAATGTTGTAAAATGAAGCAAATTAATTTTTTACAACACATAAAAATCGACATTCTACTCGCTAACCCGCAAATAACACGTCCGACAGCGAATTATTATTTCTTATCTCAATGGGGTCGAAATGACCCTCGCATGTTTTACCCTCGCCAATGAAATATGTAACAAAGAGAACGGGATATGGCGGCCATTATATAACGATTATAGAAACATTTAATTGAGCCCACAGACATGTAATGTAAAGGCGGACTTGAATAAATTATCGAGGGCTGTGATAGGGTTAACGGTTTGATTTGCCGTGATTATGTTGTTGTGGAAATACCATTTATTATGTAGACCAGCTCAAAGTATATACTAGACTTTGATGGTAAAAACTTCCTCATTTATATCCCATAATTATTTTAATTATAATAAATTGTATTTTATTTGCAAAATACTATTTTTATAACGACATTTAAATTATTAGAAAACGAGAAAAAATAATATCAGCAGATTTATTATACTTTTATATGTAATCGATCGATTTGACATCGATTTGATCAGAATCGGAATCGCATTTATACTAGCAAGTAACACTAATAAAATAAATATGTATTTGTCGTTGGCCAAGGGATAGTTAGTATTGTCGCCATTCCATTTAAAAAGAACACGTTCTGTCAAAATAGCATCAAGTGTACCTAATAAACTAGTTACAGTATTAACTCAACATTGTTTCAATTATTGATAACAGTAAATTAACTTTAGGAATATGAAGCGACTGAATATGAAAGAATTAATGAGTACCTACACTTTATTTGCATTATACAATGTCTTACTTCTTATCTTACTAATAGGCATAATAAAATTATATCTAAACGATGTTTGTACATGAGAAATATTTAAGAAAAAAATATATGAGGGGTCTGAATAATGCCAGTAGAGACTAAAACAATATTTTTTTAGTTTTCCTTAAAACCTGATCTACATTTCACCTTAATATGCTATCTAGAAGTGGCCTACGCCATTTGTTTTTTTAATTCTTAAACTAAGCGTACGAAGTAGCGGGCAGAAAGCTAGTAAAAAATAAAAGAACATAAATATGTTGCAATTCTAAAGTGAGAAATGTTACAATTTCAATATCGATCGTAACCACTACGGTACAATTATTTACATAATTCAGTACGAACTTACCTGACGGACCTGCTTGTACTGCTCCTCAAAGCTCCAACCAGCTGCACTGCCTTCTGATGAAGAAGATGACGCTGATCCTGCTGGCTGTGCCGGTGGGGGAGGAGCAGGGGCGAGGAAAGCCGGTGGCGCATAAGGGAAACTCCCTGTGGCTCCACCGCCAGCGAGTGCAAACACGCTGCTGGGAGTCGACAGAGGCGCACCCTGGGCTAGTGAAGCCAGTGAGGAGAGATGTGGGTGCAGCGATGACTTGAGGGACTCGAAGTCATCTCGGACCTAACATAAAGATGTTCTTATTTCAGTATATCAGTAAAACATCGAAAGCCCTACAGACCCTTATAGATACACGTTTTTTTGTATACCACTGAGGTGGCAATCAAGGTCCACCTGATGGTAAGCGGTTCCTGTAGGATATGAACGCCTGCAATACTAGAGGTATTACGCGCGCGTTGCCGACCCTGAAAAAACCTCTTTACCCCCCCTTTTAAAGAATCCCATGCTGTAGTCTCTTGGGAAAACCTCGGCAGGGAGCTTATTCCACAACCTGAGTGTTCGTGGGATATTAATATATTCCATAATACTACAAAAGTAAGAAAAATTTTCAAAAAAGAGATGAAAAGATCTCTTCAGGATCGGCAATGCGCGTGTAATGTAATGCTCTGGGGAGAAAGGGTTTGTTATTAATGAGGTCTAATAGCCCCATATACCCTCTCAGGTCGACTTCCACGCGGTTCCCCCTAGAAACCATCATGGTTAATTCTTGTTGACTTTATCATGGTGGGCCAACTGAACTGCATTCATTCTCACCCATCATCTTCCACTGGTGCCTCGTCGGTGTATACCGATAGCGCGAGCGGGGTTACTATTCCATTTTCACCCATAAAAAAATGGAATGCTCTGATGTTCCAAGGTTTCATAGGCTACAGTAAACGCTTACCATCGGGTACCGTATGCTTGTTTGCCACCTCAATGATATAAAAAAAAATTATATATAGTAACGTATGAATGAACAAATGTATGAAAAACTCTTTATTGTTCCCTTCAAAAATGGATAAAGATTATTACATATATATTAACAATGTGTGCACAAAAAAATTTAGTTTTGAACTGTCTAATACATTAATAATTTAGATACAACTGACACACGGCGTTTTGCTATCAACCACTAACTCCATATTTTCCAAAAGTCCATATTTTTCATACAAAGACGAAAAACAATAACTAAAGCAAGAATATAATTATAAATTTTCATTAAAATCGGATAAACGGTTTCGGATTAGCGTGAACGAACATGTCGTCAACGTGGTATTTTTATCTATTAAAGTAACTTACTTTCAATTCCCTTTCATGCGGCCTCGGCGAATTCCTCTGATTGTGATTCATTTGATGGCTGTTCATCGGCTGATGACTGACAGTCGCGTGGTGGTTCAGATTATGCTGCTGGAACGGCTGGTGTGGAGTGTGTGACACGGTATGCGACTGGTGCATTTGATGCTGATGCTGTTGGTGGGGCTGAAGTCCCTGGTGGTTTACTGGCGCGTCGCGGCCGACCCCTTCGTCTGAACTTTCGCAAGATTGCTCCCCTGATGATTCGCCTTCGGAGCGTGCAGACTGAAACAAAACGGGACGATTAGACCAAAGCTTTTAACACAATCAATCTATATCTCGCGAAGATGAAGTCCTAATAAGATAGATAGATATATGCTCTTGATTGTTTCCTCCAAAAGATTACAGTAGTAAACTACACTGAGAAAACAATGGGCGACCTTATCGCTAAAAACGATCTCTTCCAGGCAACCTTTGAATGGAGAGGAGTATTTATAAAAAGTTTGATCGGAGGCACGATGAAATTCTATTATTTCTTAATGTAGAGATATGATACATGTAATAATGTAAAATACTACTCATTATATACACTTATATACTATTATATATATATATATATATATATATATATATATATATATATATATATATATATATATATATATATATATATATATATATATATATATATATATATATATATATATATATATATATATATACATATACATACTTACAAAAGTATTAAATATACATTATTAATTTGTGATACACCGATTTTCTTGGGGCTTTGCTCGCGTGAATCAGTATATAAAGTATTATATATGCTAAGTTAGGATATAAACTAAACGCATACCAATTTCATTAAAATCTGTCTAGTAATTTTTACGCGAAAGAATTACATACATCCATACATCCATCCATCCATCCATCCTTCCATCTAACATTACAAACTTTTGCATGTATTATATTAATAATAAAATAGAATAATTTAAAATTAAGAAAAGAAATATTAAAGAATATGAAAATATTAATACGTGTACACCTACGTGGATCAGGTATTCATCAAGATTGGCAACTCCCGTCACTTTATTACTGTTAATTATCCTTTCACTTATAAAAATCACCTTAAGTAATCGATAATCAATAATTAAGTGTCTATTCCATGAAAAGAGCTTTACACATTCATTAGCGTCCGAATAAATTTATTTAGTTTTGTATGGAAGCAATTTATCTAAATGAATAAATAGAATACAAGAAATACATTCAATGTCACTTACAATCAAAGATTATCGATAATTATGTCTTCAGGCATTATTTTCGTCAGTTACGCCATCTGTTCGCAACATAGGCATTTAAAATACGAAGTATCCACGTACTTATTTGTGTATATGTTCAATAAAATAATTACAATCCTCAGGCAGTGTATAGGTTACAAAATCATTTCTAAACCACAAAGTAAATTATGTTTATTTTGTGCAAACATAATAAACAATTTTACATTATACGCTAATCGAAGGTAAATAATTTTGGCCGGAACTAATTACGGAAGATTACATTGTATTTGTTATTGAGCTATTAATTAGTATTACTGTTCTATTTTGCTCATGCATAGAGGAAATCTTAAATAACGCTTAACAGATTTGTATTCTGGTGATGGTATGTGCAATATTGTAATTAACAGCTCAGATGAGAAAAAAATATCTAACTGAAAATATACAAAAAAAATAAATAAAAAGAATCATAAATTATCCGGGTTGATCTATCATTGCACATCGACCATCAAATTTCGTATATATGTACTCGTAATTACATTTTTCGTGAGAATGATTGAAAATACTATTTGACAGTTTCAATTATAGAATTTATGTTTTATAACAAAAACTGTCAATTTCAATCCATTTAAAAAAGGCATTACACCAAGAGCTACAAAACAAATAGTCACTTTCATATTTAAAATACTAGTAAAGATAAAAAAAAAAGTTGATATTTAAATTAATAATGATATAAAAATGTCCTCAATTAAACTGGCAATATTTGAAGAATCTGTTCTTTCAAAGCTCTGTGATAAATATTTTCAATTGCATTAATTACGTGGAAAATCCGTCTGCAAAGCTTATACTGCGTACCATTGGAATCAATATAAGTTATAAGAATACGCGGCAAGGCCAGCTGGCAATCAATCCACTCGTGGCCTGCTCGAAAGGTGTATATTTTCAACTAACTTCAAAAATAAGGAGATTCTAAATTCAATTATATATATTTTTTTTTGTTTGTTGCCTTATCATCCATCACTTATAACCCTTATATCATCACCATCAGTTATAACCCCAATTGTTTTTTTTTTAACTCAAACGATATACTTTCTTATATGTTCTCTAGAAATTTCATCAAAATCGGTTTCGTAGTTCAATTTTGAAATCAAAACAATAATTTTATCTAAAATTGAAGTCAGTTTTTGGTTTTTGTGAAAAATAATTTTAAGTTATATGATATTGATAGACTGGGACAAAAAGTATTTAGTCTAACTCGTTCTCTACCCCATATAGTTAATATGCTAAATTTCATAACGACGAATGAAGTTTTTAAAGCAACAATATGTAAGAAGTAAAGAAACTTAAATTCACATTTATGTTACACAAAGTTATGTTACACATATACCTATTTAGCAAATTTATAAAATTAAAATATTAATAATCATTTTTAAATTCTTACTAATTTTGCCACCTGAAAAAACAGTCACAAAACTACTTATGCTTCGTCGTATCAGAATCGATATATGTTATAACAAAACATGGCGAGGGCAGGCGGCAATCAAACCGTTGCTCGAAATGAGTGCATTTTGCGCCGCCGCCGCCCGCAGCCCTCAATTACGACATTAAATTATTATTTTATTTCCATTATTTTTATTTATTATTCGCATTATTATATTGTGTGGAGTTATTATCGGTGAAATGTTTCGTTCGGATAAACGTTCGACTCCGAGCGGCACGCAAGCCTCGAACGCCACGGTTTCAGGGTTCCACGAATAGAATTAATCAATCAATCGAATGTCAAAGTCTCTTAGTGGCTGTGTCAACTCGAAAAGATTTAAACAAAATTGATAGGTATCTACATTAACGATATAATAAATACATCGATGAACTTGGTTGTAGTAAGCAATTCACCTAAGCAAAACAACACTTTCTATTCTAAATGTGCACAAATTTCTTATTTATATAAAAATAATAAATAGGTTATCATTATTATTAATAGTATGTAACTATTTATTTAGCCATGTAATCCCGCCATAGAATAGGCCACCCCTTCCTTTCCCGTAAATATCGTAAGAGGCGACTAAGGGAGGGCGAGTGTAAGGCAGCAGCATCCCTCTTAAAATATCTCAAAAGCCTAACAGCGGTTGTCAATCGACCTGCCAAGCATGGCAACTACTGGCAAAACCCTCCAAGCGGGGAGGTTTATGTTCAGCAACGGACAGTTAAAGACTGATATGAAAACTGTTTATCTAAAACAATTTTCAATTTTTTTCATCGCATAATTACTTTTCTGTTTTGACAAAAGTTGATTAGGACAAAATGCTATATGGCATTAAGTCCGCATTTTGTACCAAAATATTTTTTTGTTATGTAGTCAATAATAAAATTAATTCATTCATTTATAGTATGTAATAAATACACATTTTTAACAAAAAATATTTTTTATCATTATACTTTAGACAATAATAAATAAATATAATAAAACTAAAGAGCCAGTTAATTTTCCTACAGAACCCCCATTATAATAGCAGCCGTCTCTGGTTACTTGCTTATTCAACTTGATTTTCTCATGGTTGCAGCCTGCTACTGGATTCCTTCAATCTTTTATTTCTTTTAAGGTGACCGCAATTTCATTTAAACGTTATATCAATAAAATGAACCATTTAATGTTTCACCGAGTTCGTCCACCTCAACGTCATACGTAGATACACCAAATTCATCCGCCTTAGTAAACAAATACTCACATAAATGTTATTATATTATTATCATGTGACGAACTGTAAAAACCAACAGTTCAACTGATCGTTAAGTAGGATAGAGTTAGCACAAGTTGTGTTAATGCCAAAATAAATAGAATCCGACACACGGGTGCGCTTTGTGGAAATCTCTCTCGTGATTGTATAATATAATAATAACTGTAAAATGTTTAGTGGGTCGATGAAAAGGTACGTGGTATTCCTCATATTGGGTATGTCAATAAACAGATGAAGTTTCACTATTAAAGCAGTACAGCTATATGGTAATACTGGTATGGCAGTAAAATTACAAGGTATTGAGGATTGAAATGTTCATCATCATATCAGCCGTTACCTATCTACTGCTATACATGAGCCTCCCTCGTAAGAGTGGTTTTGCCAGTAGTTGCCACGCTTGGCAGGCACGTTGGCAACTAGGCAATTAGGCTTTTCGTATTGTTTTAAAAAGGGCTCGACCATTAAGTTCCCTAGGGGGAAAGGGATTATGAGGTCAAATAGTCCCATTACTAGCAATGTACTCTATCAGGTGCACTTCCACAGGATTCCCCTTGGAAACCATCGTGGTTAATTCTAGTTGAATTCGTCAAGATGGGTTAACTGATCTGTTTTCATCTTCATCATCATCGTAGTTTATCTATAACCCCTCTCGATACCATATGCAATTTTACCATAAAACACTAGGAATAATGCTAAAAACTAGAATTGATTGAGACCTTAAATTGGCAAGAGATTACAAACAAACTCACTTTCACATCTATAATGTTAGTAAGGATGACCATTGATTTCGTACTATACGATGACTATTGCAAACAAGGTGGATCGATTGAGGTGTCGCACTTGACATACTGAACTTTCATTATCGTGTAATGGGAACATTAAACATTATTGCAATACTCAAAGAGAAATTATAATTTGAATGTAAAACATGCGTAAAAAATCTGTTGATCATAAGTTAGAAATTCTGCAGTATTCATTCTTTTCCAAAAATATTTAAAAGAAATTGTGGACTTTAATGTATACTTAAGTCTCAATTTAATTTGTCTTCAAAATTTTAATAGACAGTTTTAGTAAAACTTTATTTACGAATAGGCGCTGTTTATACTTAACCTTTCAATTGGTACTTAGTGAACTTTAATATATAAATCCTATTTTTTTTATACAACTTAGAATGGCAAACAAGCTGACGGCCCACCTGATGGAAAGTGGTAACCGTTGCCTATAGACATGAGCAGTACCATGAACATAACAGAATATACTGTTTCGCCCATTATAC